CGCGCACACACGCACACACGCACACACGCACACACGCACACACGCACACACGCACACACGCACACACGCACACAGGCACACACACACACACGCTTGCACGCACGCACGCTTGCACGCACGCACGCACGCACGCACGCTAGCACGCACGCACGCACGCACACACGCACACACGCACACACTCCACGCACACACGCACACACGCACACACGCACACACGCACACACGCACACACGCACACACGCACACACACACACACCCCACACAACACCCCACACAACACCACACACAACACACACACAGACACCACACACAACACCACACACAACACCATACACACCACACAGAACACCACACACAACACCACACACAACACACACCACACCACACACAACACCACACACAACACTCACACACACACACCACACACAACACCACACACACACACACCACACACAACACAACACACAACACACACACACCACACACAACACCACACACACACCACACACAACACCACACACAACACACACACACCACACACAACACCACACACAACACACACACACACACCCCACACAACACCACACACACCACACACAACACACACACAACACACACCACACACAACACACACACACACACACCACACACAAAACACCACACAACACACAACACACAACACACAACACACAACACACAACCAACACACACACACACACACACACGCGCGTTTTCGGGTTTTGCGGCATGCACGGCAAAACAGGAGGGCCACGAACGATTTGGGCGAGTTCCTTTGGTCGGCGCGCCTCGTGCTTCGGGCTCCAAGGCGCTAGACTGAGACTGAGTACCAAAAGGGCCAGCCCGTATACGCCAGGGGAATGACTTGCATAGCTGGAACCTGCATCCACCCACAACATGTGCGTGAACCAATGTCAATACTGGCCAATAGGTTTGGGCACCAGACTCTTTTTTTTCGCACAAAAGGACGCCGTTTTGACCAGGCCCCGGGTTTTTGACTCGCCTCTCGCGTAGCAATTGGATGTCGACGGTTCCGGCGCGGCGCCGCCACGAGCTGCCGCTGAAAGTCAAGGAACAGGTGCCATCCAGGAGCTGCGCGACTGGGGGTCCCCCGAGTCCTGTTCGAGAGAGGCTCCCCTATGTTCCCCTGAAGTGGTCTGAATTTTGACCAAAAGGAGGCACCCTTTTTCATCCCTTCTTCCTGTTAATAAACGTAAAGACCCCTCCAGCCCGAGTCCCAAAATTGCCAATACTACCCAATACTAAACCAATACTAAACTCTTTGACCACCAGATGAACTCATTCTGAACATTTTTTTGTGCAACTCAAAGGGGTGCCTTCCCATTAAAAGTCCTTACTCAAAGTTGTACTCTGACTACTTTTTTTTTGTACAAATCAAAGGGTCCCTTCCATTTAATGATTGTTACTCAAAAGTTGCATTCTAAACACTTGTTTTCTGCAGATCAAAAGGGTCCCTTCCCATTAACAGTTCTTACTCAAGAGTTGCATTCTGAGCGCTGTTTGTGCAAATCAAAGGGGCCCCTTTCTGCCAGTATGAACCCAATTCTAAACAACGGAGTCGGAAACAGCTCTGCCAAAAACCGGCAATCGGGGGAAAGTAGATTGTTATTATAGGGCGACCGGATTATCTTTGATTCAAAATCAACCAGGGCTTCTCCAGGTCCCCAGTATGTCCAGACTTCTGTTTGGTTTGGTCGTTGGTTTGCCAGGACTCCTCGCCTTGCACCCGGCTATGGCCGCGCTTTGTACGAGCCCCCGGTGTCGCGTCAGCGGCCGGGGGCGCCCAAGAGCCCGCTGGGCACGACGCAGCTCGGGGCCTGGCTGCTGCGCAGAAAGGCGAAGGAGGTGCCTTCCGTGAGATACGCCTTCGAGGCGGGCGACTCGATGCGCGAGAAACACCCAGGAAGAAACCTATAGTCTTGGGGCTCCATGGATTCTGCGGAAGGATGGTGCAACTTTTGGAAGGGGCGGTAATTGCCTCGCGCTGGTGACGTTCTTCTTTTTTTCTTGCTTGTGACTGGATTATCTCTGTTTGTGACGGTTTTTGGAAGCCCTGGCATCTTTGTTGTTTTTGTCAGCATCCTTTTTGATCTCCCGGTTTCGTCTGCCCCTTTAAACCATTTTGCCCGACATCTCGTGGCAGGAGACATCCCCATCCGGTTTGCAGGCGGATGCATCGGCCTCCTTGGCCTTGCACAAGCCCTTCAAGTGGGTGCCCTGTCAAGCACGAGAGCTGGGCCCAGATGACATCTACTTCAGGGGGAAACATGTGAACTCACTCTCGCCCAACCTGAACCTCGGTGTGGACTGGAGCAGACTGGAAACGTCAGCCGCCTTCTCGCCGCTTGGGCAAGTCTCTTGCTGCATGCTTGATTCAAATGACTCCAAGATGGTGTTTTGCAGAGGTTTGGTTTCTTGTATACATTCAGCGCCCGGAACGCGACTCGCGCAACTACCTTCTAACATGTATCCGCGCAAGAGCCTGACCTTTGCAGTTCTCTGTGATGGCCCTGCACCAGCTGGCCGGAGTTTGGGCAAAATCCGGCTGGATCGGGATGGCTGGTTGCGAGTTGAGAGCATCACGGCTGGGTGTCTGGTGGATTTGGGCGGCGTCCACTTTGCGCTGTGTGGCGGTTTGCCCTTGGCTGAGGGCGTGCAAATCTTCTGCTGCACTGTGAAGGGTCAGAGTTTGGCAATGCTTCAGGGCAAGGTCTCCGAGAAGGTCTTCGACTTACAGCCGAAGGACCAGCCCTTGCTGGTCATCCCCCCAGATTTCCGGCCTGCAGAGGTTTGCCCCTTTGTGGTTCCAGGGTCGAGATCCGCAGGCTTCCACCTCTTGCAGGTCAGCGCAAGCCCCGCTGGCGGAAGGCTCGACTGGAGGGATTCTGTTTGGAACCGAGACGAGATGGAGCTGACGGCAGTGGTTTACAAGATGCCCATCAACCTGGAGTGCCTCCCCTGTGCTTTGATCGGCACTTGGAGCAATGCCCGGAGAAACATTGTGCTGGAGGATTTCCGGCAGGCTCTGATGTCCAGATTTGGGAGCCTGGACGAGGCCTGGCAAGCAGCCTTCGACGTGTGGGGGGACGGCGACGTGGATTTCGCTCAATTTGCGGAGGGGTGCAGGCTGGCTCAGTTCAGTGGTAATGTGTGCAGGCTGTGGTCGATGCTGGATTTGGCAAAGCAAGGGCTAGTCACCTTGCACGATTTGTGCATGAGCACACTTGAGACCGGTCTGGACAACACAGACTCGTTGAACATTCCAGGTTCGTGTGGATGACACGGGCTATCCATAGTACTGGCTATCGATCCATGAACAGCATGGCCGCAGATAGCTGCTCGAAATAGCAATCGAAGGATTGCCCAGCTCTCCAGTGGTGCCCTTGTCCGGTTTTTTTGGCGTGGGTTTCTTCAAAATCAACGAATTTCCAAAAAGGGGTGCCCCTGTTGTCATGGCCGCTGGAGGATTGTGCATATTTTCCTGCGAATTTTCAATGGCTCACCATCTGCAAAGTTCAGAGATGTTCAAACTCCTAAGGCCAGCTTAAAGCTTGGCTTATCAGTGGGCAACGGAAAAAGGTCGCCTCACTGTTCTGAAGCTTTTACTTTCCTCATGTCCCAAACCATCCAAAGACCCGGTTTGACGTAAGGTTGGGTGCAAAACCCAGGCGTTCTTTTTTAGGTGTCCTTTCGGTGGGTGAAACCTTCGGACGTCGCCAGGGCAGACACTCCAGCAGCTGCTTCAGGGCAGCTTCCTGGCAGCCATGGCACAAGTCGCCAGGAGCCTTGGGAATGAGATCGAGTGATTCGAGCGCCACAAGGGCGTGTCCACTTTTAGGGAACGGCGGGGCTTCCCGTTTGGATCCTTTTTCGCTAAGAAGTCCAATTGAGACGCGCTCCAAACGAAGGTCCCAATGTTGACCCGGATCTTGGGGCACGTCCTATGGCAGGGGTGTTCCCTAAAAATGTGGTCTGAATGCGCGCTAAGAGGGAACACCCCCCCAATCAAAATCAACCAGGGGGTTAACCTGGGGTCGAAGAAGAACTCCCTCAATTGGAAAGGACATTTGTGTTGGACCTTTCCGTCAGGTTCCATGTTGGGCGACAGGAGGTACCCATGAATCTTCACATGCCCAACCTTCCAAAGACCCGGTGAAGCTACATTGTTGGTGGAAAACCCTGCTTTTCCCTTTTAGGTGTCCTTTTTGTGGGTGATTGTAGGGTGAAATGGGCGCGTGGACTTCCTACGGTTTTGGGCACACGCTAGGACGCTGCGCGAGGTGCCGTGTGTCCTGGGCTTTGAGACCATGAACGAGCCCCATCCCGGGTGGCTGGGCCGGGGGACCCGAAAGACACCGAAAAATTCCCGCAGCGCGAAGGAGCCGCAATCAAAACCTGATGAAGGCAAGGGACAATCCCGACCAGCGACCATTTGAATACCGGGTGTACCGGGTGTTGATTCTGACTACCGGGATCCAACTTTTTGGCTCATGTGCAACGGACTGTGGCACACCTGACAGATCTGGACTGGCAGCATCGACGCGCAGCATGAGTGTCGCCTGCTGTACATCTCGTGCTGCAGCACCCTTTTCTTTTTTCTCCCCCGACAGCTGAAAGCGATGGGCCAGATAGGCTCCGGGTTGGTCCGGGGGCTCTGAGGCAAGGTTCCGCCGGGTTCCCCGAAGGTTTCGTGAGGGTTCCGCGACAATTCCGCGAGGGCTCCGCGAGGGTTCCGCGAGGGTTCCAGATGGCTCCGCAAGGGTTCTGCAAAGGCTTTGGGAGGTCCGGGCGGGTTCCACGAGGATTCCGCGAACGGTCTGCGAGGGTCTGGGCGGTTCCGAGGCTTGTTCCGAGATGAGCCCGGGGCACACGGACTCTCAACTACCCCCCGATTGTACCTACCCACCCCAGGAAGAAATTCCATATTCTAAATTGGTGTCAAAATAGGAGAGCCAAAAGTCTAAACCCGTTGCGCTCTTCTCCCAAAATGGGCACACAGCCTAAAACATCCCGATGCCCGAAACGTTTCCCTGCGCGGGTGGGCTCACAGCCAAGCCCAACATGCCAGACAATCAACTTCCATCAAAATCAGCATCCTTCACTGTGCAGGAAATAAGCTCAGGTGATATGCTAGCAACCGCCCCGTTCCTCCCTGGAACCCCTCGCGCAACCTTTCCTCAGAGACGCCTTGTGTAAAAAGAAACTGGCCCCCCTTAAGGATTCCCTAGCATGGCAAGATTGTTTCATGGGACCGGTAGGTTTATAAGGGAAGTGGGTGGTGACAATTTCGGGCATTGGACGGGCCAGAAATGGGAAGGGAAACAGCAGAAGACTCAATTATATAAACTGGGTTGTTGGTGGAAAAACCCTGCTTTACACTTTTTGGTGTCCTTTGCAGGCGGGTGAAATGGGGGGAGGTGTAAGTTGGGCAATTCGGGGCATCAGATTGAAAAGCGCATGCGAGAAAAGTGGCACGCAAAAGGTCCGTCCTCACTAGGAGCCCATGGCTGGGCTTCCCTTTGGGCTTTCGCTGTTAAGCAAGTCCAAAAAGGGCAACCGCAAACACTAAGACTCTCTGCAAGGCCACGAAGGTCCTAATTTTGACCCGGATCTAAGTAGAACCCGTCCTATGGCGGGGGTGTTCCCCTCCGAATGTGGTGCGAATCTCCACACCCGCCCCATTATTCAAGACCAGGGGGTTGGACTTGGGGTCAACATTGGGTTGGTTTAAAGGGAAACCAAACACCCACTCACTTGTCGGGGGTTCCCTATCTTAAAACACATTTGACTGAGGTGTTGACGATCTGGCGGAGCGCAGGATCGGGCCATTGATGTCAGGAGCGCGCGCGAAAGCCTGAAACTCACTCGCACAGCGAATCGACCTCCCCTTCGGTTTTTGAGTCATGGCCCCAAAGATGAGCCTTTGGTTCGAAAGGTCCCTGAGGGGCCTTTCGTGAAGCTAGACCTTTCTGGTCTTAAGAAGGTCAGTGTGAGTTTGCCTGTCAGAGGCTGCTTCCATTTGACCACATGGCTGCCTGACCTTCATTTTCGCAGTGCCACGTAAATACAAGGCTTTGGTTTGCTGTTGCCACCCTCATCCGCATGTTGTGCAAAGCGAAGCCTCAATGCACAGCCAAAGCGACGCCAGGTCAAACCTTTGTGAAATCTTAGCCCCAATCCACAACCCACTAAAGCATGGACCCTGAATTCATAAGCCTTCAAATCCACCAAGACTCAAGTTTCACCAGTGATTGAGAATGGAATTGGGTCTCTATGACTCCTTAACGCTTCATGGTGTAATGTACCCGGGGTCATGACTTGGTTTTGGGTCAGAACTCCAGGTTGCTTCCCTTGAGATGGGCGTGGCTCGCCCCTTTTTGATGGAACCCCCCTTTTGCTTGGTGTTACAGGGAAACGAGAAGAAACACCACCATCTTGGGGGTTCCACCTATAAAAGGACGCATCCATCGGCGACCGCAGGAAGGAGCCCTCTTGAGCAGCTTCAGGAGTGTGGCGATGCATGGGCATCAGATTTGTGGGCCAAGGCTGGCGTGTGGACGCCGTCAACCAAGACGCTTCAAGAGCCTGGTCGCTTCAAGTGTAACTGGACGGAGCAATGTTTCGCTCCTTTCGTGGAGAAGTACCTTTACTGTTGGCATGTTTTAGTTTCCTTTTTCTTTTTATGTGCTTTTTGGTTCTGTTCATTTTTAGTGTGGCTGCAAAAAACCGACAGTCTTGTTGCTGCCATACCGTTTGGGTTGGAAAGGTACACAGATACGATTCTGAGTGAGATGCCACATGCCTTGATTGGGGTATGCCCACCAGCCTTCGGGAGGGAGAGCCAAGAGCCTTTTCCCGCGCAACTGCATCCGCAAAGCTTTTGGGCCCCGCACTTTTACGACGGAGTGGTGTTGGTGGGCAAAATTTGGACGCCGGACTTTGGCATCGAGGAGGTGACTGATGAGCAGAAGCTGTTTGGGATATTCCCCGCGCCTTCTGTGCGTCCAGTATTTGGGCTGGAGCAACGCGTCACATCGTACAAGAAGCAGCTGCAAAGCAAATGCGAGCTCGCTAGGCAGGAAATTCCCAGCATTCTGGGTGAGATCGGCATTCCTTTTGACATCAAGTCTGCAAGCCTAGGGGGAGAGACGTCAGACGCAGTGAATGAAGCTGCAGATGCCCACATGCGAGCTTTGGAGGAGCTCATGCTCCCATCCTGCTGGTGGAATTACACCCCGGAAAACACCTCCGCGCGTGGGGATTTGTGGAATGGCGAGGACAAGGGTACACTTTGTTGAAACAACCGGACCCGATTCGGCCCCCTAAGCAAGCGGGAGCCCAACAAAGGCTGCTTTGAAAGCATGTCGAAACAATGGGTTTATGTGCCAAAATTGTTGGGACCCCCAAAATGGGTTTGTTTTCCCTTTCAGCAACTTAGGGTATCGAGCCTCAAAAATCAGACACCCACAAACAGGCAAGAAGTCAGACTCCCACTTTCGAGGACCTCTCGGTGTTTGCCAACGGCGCTGGTCGGCTGCCGGTGGCAATGCTACGGCCACACCTTCTGCGGTGCGGTGGCAAGCCCATTGCGCAAAGTTTCCAGGACGGCAGATTCCGGTGCGTGTGGGAGGTTGAAGATCCCAACGAGTCGGTGATTTGGATTCCTTCAGAGCGCTTCCAGGCGTGATTGGGAAGGGCGGACGGACCATTTTCTGAAGGGCACCCTTGTTGAAATGAGGTAAGGGGGATGGCCTCCTTGAGCATCACAGAAACGGGGTGAGAAAGAGCCACGCATAGTGCCAGAGGATTCTTGTTGTGTGAGAACCGACTCAAACGGAGCCCAGTGCTTTCCCCTTTTTTCCCATTGATTAACGATGGATGGTTTCCAGAAAGGACTCCCGTGCGGTCAGTCCCTTTGGAATTCGGCGAGCGAGGTGGACACTACGGAGGTGTCTGTGACGCCGGGGGTGGAGGTGACTTGGGATCGTGCCTCGCAGCTCATGCGTTGTCAGGAGGTGCCAGGCAGATTAGTGCTTGAGCTTCGATGTGACAGAAAAGACAGCAGTCATCAACGTTGTTTGTGTGTGTGGTTGACGGTACCCTTTTCACCTTGGTTTCAAGGGGAGCGAAAAGAAATATCGCGCAGATTGGGGCGTGGCTTCCCAGGGTTCGACATATCCATGTGCTGTGAAAGTGACCTTTGGCATCTCCCATGATGCAGTCCCTTCTGTTTGCCACGCTCCTTTTGATCAAATGCCGGATGCTTGATCCGTGGCACATCGAGTTGAGTCAGAAACGACAATGAAGCCCATGACAAAAGGCACTGGCTGAAGAAGCAAGTAGAAAGAAGCTCGGATAAGAACTCGATCCCATCCTGCGCATTTGCCACGCAGATCCTTCACAGCAAAGATCCTCATCTTTTGCATTTGCGAGTCCCAAGTTTGGAAACAAGAGCGGCAGCTGGACAGCCGGGCTCAGACCTGGAGTCTTGAAGTCGCCATGCAGCAGCCCCCGCCGCAGTCCTTGAAAGGCCGGGCCAACCGGGCAAACCATATTGGAATTGATCAAAGGGTCCGATGAATATGGGATGGGCAAAGCTAGCCATGGTCATTTGGGGGCCAGGAATATTGATCAACCCCCATGAGCTCCACGGTAAACTTGCATCGGGACATTGTAACATTGTATCATATCGCTTAAGCCTTCAGGAAACCTTCAGGAACGATAGGGTCGACAAAAAAAGCCTACAAACTCAGGAACTTCCACGCAACTGACGGATTCGTTGATTTGAGAGCACGAGCTGGAGCTAGAGCCGAGTTTACTTTGTATACGCTACACTTGCACGGAAAAAAATAATGCGACTTTGCAGCCGGAGCTGCGGAAGTGTACCTTGCGTACTACACTTGTACTACAAAGTTGCAATTTGCGAGCTGGAGCTGCGGAAGTGTACCTCACGTTCTGCACTTGTGTATAGAATTGTGCGATTTTCGTGCTGGAGCTGCGGAAGTGTAAATCACATACTGCAAGACTTTCACTACAAAGTCGGGACTTTCAAGCCGCAGCTGCTAAAGTGTACTTGATCGTATGCCACACTTGTACGGAAATTGTAGATTAGACTAACAACACGTGCAGAAACCCAACAAAGCTTCACCTTCAGGGATGATAGGGGCGACAATAACAAGCGGCACCCTGGTTGGAGTTTCCTCTCCGGGATGCAAGAAGGGTTTTTCGTCGCTCACATGTGTATTTTGTGAGGGCGCCCATATTTCGACACGAGCCCACATTTTACCAGGGCAAACTAGGTGAACGGAGGTGTTGGTGAGCAGAGTTTTTTCATCAAACATTGGGTTGATTTGGGACAATATGGATGTGTGGCCAGTTGCCCTTTGTAAGGCCTGCAAGGGAAATTCGGCCCTTGTGAAATTTGCTGCGCCTCTCTTGTACTG